CATTTGCTTTCTACTTGAGCCCTTGATATCAGCTCCTCATTTTCACCCCTCCCTCCCTGTTCTCCCTCCCTCATGAACCCTTGATAGTTTATAAATTATTATTTTGTCATATCTTACAGACCTGTATTAGTTCTTAATCACAGGCCTCGCCCAGCTCGATATTTGTGTGAGTAGTGCTAGGAGTCTGAATCCACTCGATGGCAGTGAGTTAATTCATGTTTATTGCTTGAGTGCTCCAATGCTCCTGGAAGCAGCCTCCAAGAAAGCAAAGAGGTATTAGGCAAATCGGCTGCATAAGGCCTCTCTAAAGGGTTGAAGAGCAAGGAAATCATCTTGAAGACTACGGGGCGCCTGACCCAAGTCGTGGTATTGTCAATTGCCTTATATGCACATGGAAGTTGGATACTGAATAAGAAAGATCAAAGAAGGGTTTGTGTATTTGCATTATGGTGTTGGTGAAAGATATTGAACGTGACTTGGACTGCCAGAAGAATCAACAAACGTGTCTTGGAAGAAGTACAACCAGGATGTTGACACTTCATTCACGTACTTGGACACGATGTTAAGAGGACACGGGCCACTGGAAAAGGACAGTGAAACATAGGTAGACCATCAGAGAGATGGATTGACACTGGTTGCAACAATGAGCTCAAACAATCGGGGCAGGATCATTATGTTTTGCTATGTTGTAACCAACTCATGACATCTAACAACAACAACAAATGTTTTCCTGGTGAGAAGCCCATGGATTTTACCAGTCTTAAGTGTGTGTGTATGTGTGTGTGTGTATGTTGGTGGGGTGGGTGTGGGTGTGGGTGGGGGTTGGCCAAGGCACAGATCCCAAAGAAAATGATCAAGTAAAAGTGTGGGATCCCGGAACACGTCCTAAAACGCGCTTCCGTCCTCTTCTCCCTCTCTGTTTCTCTGCCCTCCTGAGTGTGGTGTTGCTCCGACTTCACCATGTCGTCTCATAAGACTTTTAGGATCAAGAGATTCCTGGCCAAGAAACAGAAACAGAATCGGCCCATTCCCCAATGGATTCGAATGAAAACCGGTAATAAAATCAGGTACAACTCCAAGAGAAGACATTGGAGAAGAACCAAGCTGGGTCTGTAAGGAGCCCCCTGAGGGATGGCACGCATGACCGCATTTTCCCAGTCTCAAATCATGTTGTGTTGCATTAAGACTTTTGTCCCCATCTGATCAATTGAACTTTTATTGGCAAATCTGATTTATTCCTTGTTTTTTTTTTTGCTTCCTCATCAAGTCTAACAATAAATAATGTAAGGCTGTTGTTTGAAAAAAAAAAAGTGTGGGATCCCAAAGAGATAACTGTTATCTATTTGCATCTGTAGATAATGTATGTATAAAATAGAGGTTTAGCTTCTTTTGAACACCTTCGATGAACTAGATCTGAATGGTCAGCAGTTTGAAACCCCCAGCAGCTTCTTGGGAGAAAGACTGAGCTTTCTACTCCTGTAAATAGTTACAGTCTCGGGAACCCACACGGGGTCACTATGAGTCAGCACTGACTCGACGGCAGTGAGTTTGATGAACTGATTATTTGACCAAAATTTCCTGCCTCTACAAACTACTATGTTTCCTGTCCCACCTCAGTGCAGTTTTCTAGGTGTGACCATCTGTGGGTCTTGATGGTCTTGCCCTCCATTGTGCCAAAGGGAACCCAGACCACACTTTCCAGCCTTCTGCTGCAACC